GCAAATCTCTTTTCCTTATAGCCATTACGACATTGTCCTGTCGTTCTTTGTGAAAGTGTTGCTTCAAAAAAAAAAAAAAAAAAAAAAAAAGAAACGTAGGATGTTGCATGCGACCTTGGGTGCCGTTGCATCAATCGGTGCCGCTACTTGAAGCTTTAATTTAAAGATCTTGCCATAATGTCTTTCAACGAACAAGAAACTAGCGACGATCGCTTCTTATCATTGCAACAAGCGCGATAAGAAACTCTTTATCGGAGATAAGATTGTTCTGCGGCTTTCCAGTTGAAAATTATCTCGCCTTCAATATGCGAACTTATATCGTATCAAGTGTTTGCCGATATCTATTGGAAGCATCGAAAATAAAATTGAATCGAAATTCTACGTATCTGAAACACGGTATTTTTAAATCAAATTAATAATTAATCATAATTTTTTAATAGCTGTTCAAAAATGACATATGAATATGAGATTATGCATGTACTTGCAAATGGATGAAAATAGATTAGAATCATCACGATTATGAAATATAGGAATCTATAGTATAATGACATTGTATATCAGGAGCTATTATATCACGTGGTATGTATATAAAAATTCGGTAGTTTAAATAAATATAGTGGATACGAATTTATTATTAATCTGATAATTATCATTATTGACTGTTTATTTAAACGTTACGTAAATGGACGTATCGTTAACAAAAGTGGAACAAATAAGTTTTGTAATCCTGCTCAAAAATTTGGAGCACTCTTTCGGAGCGTGAATATAATTAATAAGTTTCTAAATATAAATAATTATATCTTCAATATTACAAAAGTTATACATAATTAAATATTTATATTTATTCGAACCTTTGTGCTCGTCATAAATTGTGCCTATTGTTAAACACTGCCACGAAAACATTCACTAATTATGATAATGTAAATATTAATAAATTCGAGATATTATATTTTATACACAGCGCACATAAAAATTGATAGCTCTGTTCGCAAAACAGTGGTTTCCACAACGTGCTCTCTCCACGAATTAGAAAAAAACGAAGGAAAGAAAGAAACGATTCGCGAAATTCGCGGGAGGTGGTAGCTGCAGCTAAAACGAGAGATGGATCAGGTTCACCTAAACGCTGCTGGTACCAATTAATTCTGAGCCGGCAGAAGGGTCGACGTACCGCGGAAGGAGAGAATCGTAGCCCCATAAAACAGAGTCTCGCTTCGCCTCTTCCTACTCCACCTACTCCTGCTGCTCGTTCCTCTTTCCGCCTCTTTAACCCTGACCTCCCGTAAAATACACGGAGAAAAAGACTTTTCCAACGTGTACGCACGAGCGAGCTGCCGAGCTGGCCGAACTCATGAATGGACCCGCGGCTCTATTTACGAGCGCGCGACCCGCTGCTTTTATCGTCGTCTCCGAGCCACTCTTTTGCCACGGCTTTGCCGCTTTTCCAGCCTGCTACAGATGCGCCACCGGATCGAAGCTTTAGCCTTTATACCACGGTGAATGCGACATTGGCAATGTCTTCACACCGATGATTCACCTTCCCCCTATTCTTCTGGCTGGGACCATTTTGAATCGGATTTCGATTAAGCGTTCTTAGACCGATGGATGTATGTATGTACGTACGACGAAAGAGTGATGCAAGGTTGAATTGTTCATCACTATTATTGTGAAGTTTTTAACTCATACGATATTAGGGATCGTGACAATTTGGAAGTGGAGTACGTTGGTTAATTTTCGAATTTAATTTGGTAATGTGTCCTGTTACGAAAAATGAAACGAAGCACAATGTAAAATTGAGTAACTTTAAGTAATTATTATTATTATTAATTCATTAACTTATTATTATACAATGCAGTCATAAATATAATTTGTTCACTGTCAAAAGTTAGTGTCTCGTTACTAGGCCATTAATAGATACCACTATGTGTATATGTCGTTTTTTAGACGTGTATGTTCTCAATGAATGAATATGAAAAAAGGTAGTGTCAAGTACTACATAATTTTATATAAAATGGAATTGTAGTTGACAAGAATAAGTATAACATATATCTCAGGATAGCGTATCTATTGGTAAAAGAGTGGTAAGAAGATACCAATTCTCAAACATATTTGTACATCGTACAGACAAATACCAATTTTAAATTTTCTCT